GCGTTCGCGCGTGAATTGTTGATTTCAGGGTTTTAGATGGGAGAATTGTTCGAGTGTTGTATAGGGGTTTTAATTGAGACAGTTAAGAAAAGTTAACACTGTTTCTATCGAAACTGTCAGACACCTTTCGAATTTTGAACTTAAAATTATTTTCTGAGTTTTGTTGTATATTTTGAATTGACTTTCGGACTTTTTGAGTGACAATTATAAAATTAATTGTAGGAAATGTCCAAAATATGATTGGGGAAAAATGATTGAACCGAGGAAAGCATTTTAAGTTAAACTTTCAAAAGGTGTCTATTAACACTATTCAGAGACAGTTAATTATTGGTTTTTATTTAGTTTTTATTGTTTATGTTGGTTATGGTCTTTATTTCGGTTTCTAAATTGCTTGTTGATGTTTCGTTATTGATGTAGTTGTAGGAACTACAGGTTACAGTATATGTGTATATTTTCGATAAACTCATTGTAGGAAAGAAGACATTAATGCTGTGTGATTAATTTTGAACGAAACGTTGAAATAAATGAGATAACTGTACATTTTCTGCATTGAACAGGCTCCGCATTGTAACGCGCAACGAAAGGTTAATTACGATGGAAGGTATGCCTATGTATAGATAAGATGAAAGGTTAATTAAACGTAAGCGTTTCTAATGTATCTAATTATACTGTACATATTCGTGTTTACTAGGTATTCGCGTCATCTGTAATTTCAGTGATCATCTGCAATTACGAGCAGGTGTATTTACATGAACCAGGTACTTCACGCGAAATCCCTTATAAAGAATCCATAAAATGGACGACTATTGAAATAATCTCTTTGCAAAGTGTATCACCGACAAATCTGCAATTTCAAAGATAATAGTAGAATAGTGAGAGCAGTAACTAACCTTCACTCTATTTAACATACATCAATGAATTTTTAAATTTTACTTCAAATATTATTCTAATAAACTATAACAACTATTATTCTAATCAATGATATCAACTATAACAACTATTATTTCAATCAACTATATCAATTATAACAGCTATTATTCTACTAGACTATATGAACTGCAAAAACTATTATTCTAATCAACCATAACAACAATTACTCTAATCAACTATAACAACTATCATTCTAATCAATTATATCAAATACAACAACCATCATTCTAATCAATTATATCAACTACAACTATCATTCTAATCAACTATAACAACTACCATTCTAATCAACTGTATCAACTGTAACAACCATTATTCCAATCCACCATA